ACCCTAGTCTGGTTCCTAGTCTGGACCCTAGTCTGGTCCCTACTCTGGACCCTAGTCTGGTCCCTAGTCTGGTCCCTACCCTGGACCCTACTCTGGACCCTAGTCTGGTTCCTAGTCTGGACCCAAGTCTGGTTCCTAGTCTGGACTCAGATTGTTGTCGTGTGTTCCGTGAGTCTGTCTGCCCTGTCCCAGTCTGCCCTGTCCCAGTCTGCCCTGTCCCAGTCTGCCCTGTCCCAGTCGGCCCTGTCCCAGTCTGCCCAGTCCTCTGGATGTTTTGTCCCAGCATCAGCAGGAAGTGCTCTAACTGGTGTCTTCTTTCAGATAAAGCTCAGTGAGGTTGTGGGGACTGGAAAAGATGGGCGAATTCTGAAGGAGGACATCCTAAACTTCCTGGCCAAGCAGACAGGAGCCATCCTCCCTCCAACCCCTCCCTTCCAGGAGATCCAGACTCCATGCCCTACCCCCTCTGTTCTTGCTGCTGCTGCCGCTGGGCTCGTGGGCACTCCGTCAACTACCAAACCTCCACCTAAAACAATCAGACCCGTTTTCACAGAGAAGGATGTGACAGAACCCATCAAAGGTGAGTGTTCCTGTCAGAGTAGAACCAGGCAACAGTTGAGATGTGTCTGCAATGTCTCCATGTGTCCACAGGTTTCCAGAAAGCCATGGTGAAGACCATGATGGCAGCTCTGAAGATTCCTCACTTTGGTTATTGTGACGAGGTGGACCTCAGCCGGTTGGTGACTCTGAGATCAGAACTCAGACGGGTCTCAGAGAGCCGTGGAGTCAAACTCAGCTACATGCCCTTTTTCATCAAGGTTAGACCCCAGCCCAAAGCTGATTGGTCCAGAGGTCCTTAAAGGTGCGCTACAATGTGGTTTATTTACAAGTGGAAACGGATCGTTGAGTCTCTATGAAGCATATGAAACTGAGCTTAAATGTCCCAGGACGCCTCCTAAACGTCCATACAGAAGCAGCTCATTATGAAGACCTGTTTGCCCCGCCCACTCCACCGGGACATGAATGTTCAGTTTTATTTCAATTCAGTTTATTCCTACAGCGCCAGGACCGAGTCTTCTCAAGGAACTTCACACAGTAAACACTACCGGTCAGGGGTCTCATTTATCAAACATCCTTACTAAAACCGTACTTAAGCTCAGCAACACAAAAGTTCTTACACCAAGCAGGTGTGTTACCTATCAAACATGGAGGACACACAGCTGCACGCAACCTCCGCTTCATAAATCAGAGACTAACCAGAATGGTTCTCAGCTGCTTTTTAGTCACATCCCGCTCTCACCACGCCCACTTACTGCCATAAATGGTCAATGCAAAGTGCCTTGTGGACCTCATGCATATACATAAGCCGGCTGTTGCAGCGCTCCACCAATGACATGGCGACCGTAGATCAAGGCAGATCAAGGAAGCGCTATTTCACAAGCAGAAGTTGAGGTACCTGTGGGTGAGGTGGAGAAATGAAAGGAAGTGCTTTTGCAAAACAAATAAGAGAAAATCCACGGAGTGGCACAGCGTTGCTGAAGCCGTCAATGCTGACTTCTTCAGAGAGATCTGTGGCGGATATAAACAATGGTCCAATCTGAAGGTGGAGGATAAAAAAAAGATGTTTTGCCACCGCCAGAGTGTGTCTGCCACTGGCAGTGCCCTGGCACCTCTGATGCCCCACCGCTCCGTTAGGATCTCAGCAGTACTCGGACCGGAGAGCGTGCGTGGCATCGTGCCGGAGAAGGAGGGAGACACTGACCATGTAGAGGAGGCTGGTAACGTGCAAGCCTTTTATTAATGCAGATCAAACGTGTCCGTCATGAAAACATAAAACAAAACCTTATCTCGTCCCCCCAGTGACTCTGGACCAAGCGTCCAACGAGGCGACCGAAGGTGTGGCTGCAGGGTCGGCCTGTCTCACCAGTGTGCCTCGGGCGCATGGCGCACCTGGAAGTGGCCGGGTGCTAACTGACGCCGTCCTGCAGCCACAGAGGGACACGATTAGTGCGGAGAACGAAGTGCGAGAAGAACCGCACAGAATATGTGGCGTCCTGCTGAAATTTCAGGAACACAAAGAATTGGCAAGAAAATAAAAGATGGACATCATGCCTTCTGTGTTGTTCTATAAATGACGTGTGACAGGGTGGAGAGACGAGGGCCCGGCGGGATTCGATCATCACCCTCCCGGGTGAGAGTCACGCGCTCTAACAGCCAACCAAAGGGACATCCCCATTGGCCAAGTAGAAGAAGAAGAAGATATCATTTCTATAGCGCCTCTCAAGATAAAAATCACGAGGCGCTTCACAAAAACAAAAACATAAAAATATAAAAAAGCATTTAGAAAATGTTTAAAAATATATTTAAAATGAGCAAAAAAAGACAATTGTGATTAAAAAATGTAAAGACAGAGAGAGAGTGAACAGGAAAGAGGGAAACCAGTGGATCCTGAGGAAGGTGGAATAGGTGGGGAGAGCAGAATAAAGAGAGAGAGGTGAAGAAGGTCGTACAAAAGCCAGCTTGAACAGGTGAGTCTTCAGCTGCTTCTTAAAGGAGACCACTGAGTCCACTGATCTCAGGCTCAGGGGGAGAGAGGTCCAGAGTCTGGGGGCCACAGCAGCAGATGATCTGTCACCTTTGACCTTTAGCCTGGTGCTGCACAACCAGTAGGCTTTGGTCACTGGACCTCAGGGACCTGCTGGGGGTGTAGGGACTAAGAAGATCACCAATGTAAGATGGTGCTTGTCCATGTAAGGCCCTATAGACCAGAACCAGGATCTTGAAATGAACCCTGAAGTTGACTGGCAGCCAGTGAAGCTGGAGGAGAAGTGGGGTGTTGTGGGTGTGTTTGGAGGACTTGGTCAGAAGCCGAGCACAGGCGTTCTGAACCACCTGTAGACGGTTCAGGGAGGTTCTGCTCAGACACGTGAAAAGAGAGTTACAGTAGTCTAAGCGTGAGGAGATGAAGGTGTGGAGAACTGTCTCAAGTTCAGAGCGTGACAGAATGGGACTCAGCTTAGCAACGTTCCTGAGATGGAAGAAGGAAGAGCCAACAAGAGAACTGACATGAGAATCCAGGGTGAGAGCTGGGTCAAAGGTCACGCCAAGATTCCTGACGGAAGGTTTGGTGTGGGAAGCAAGCTGACCAAGAGAGTCTCTGACTTTGGGAACCAGCTTGTCTGGGGCACAGATGAGGATCTCAGTCTTATCTTCATTCAGCTGAAGAAAGCTCCCACCATCCAGGTTTTGATAGAGCCAGGGCGCATCATCAATCAGGTCACAGTAACAGGACACACACTGCCACAGACGCATGATGTTATGTCCCATTCTGTATTCTGCGCTTCAGCCTGTGTGTGTGTGTGTGGGGGGGGGGGGGGTGCTCTCCATGTCCAGTGTGTGTAGGCCAGGTCCTTAGTCAACTTAAAGTTGTACACATTTTTCCGCTACGTTTTCTTTCATAAATCCCAAAGCAGAGACGAATCATGACTCAGCAGAAGACGCCTCAGAGAAAGAACTGGAGACACTTGAACAACAAGTAGTTACCTTTGTGCTCAGTAAGAATATAACTACCCATAAAGAAGCTGTATGTACACGTCACACTCTGCCTACAACTCAGAGAACACAAAGGAACATGTACTGGTGCAAGCTAAGAGGGTTAAGATGAAATCTTCATTTAGCTAAAAACTAGTTACACAACCAGATCAGAGGCCTCACGGGGTGCTGTGAGTCAGTAGTGCATTTTTAATTGTGCTTTAAAAGCTTCAAGTGTAGTTGTGAGTCTTAATTCCAGTGGAAGGCCATTCCACAATGTTGGGGCGCGACTCTTATGTTCAGGTGGTGGAACGACCGGTAGGTTGTTGGCAGCGGAGCACAGTGATCTTGAGGGGGCGTGTTTCTGCAGTAGTGATGATAGATGAGGCGGCGCAGTCCCTGCTAGTGACTTGAATGTAAATACCAGAATCTTGACCTCAATGCAGTGTTTTAGCAGAAGCCGCTGCAGTGCATGTAATACTGGAGTGTTACATTTGTTCACTCCGGTAATAAACCTTGCTGCAGCGTTCTGAACCATCTGCAGCTCTGACAGTGTGGAAGTGGTCAGACCGACATACAGAGTTGCAGTAGTCGAGTCTGGAAAGCACAAATGCAGATGTTACGATCTCAAGGTCCTTTCTGGATAGCATAGGCTTGATCCTCGCAAGGCGCAAGGATGGGTTAGGGTTAGGGTGAGGGTTAGCATGATCTCACTACAGAGTTCACCTGTGCATCAAAGGTCAGTCCAGAGTCCAGTCTCACACCAAGATCAGTTACCACTTTACGTTCAAATTGTGCTAATGATAAGAGGTCTATGCTACATGGCTGATGGCCATTAGGTGACAAAACTATGACTTCAGTCTTGCTCTCATTACAACTGAAGAAGTTGGTCGACAACCGTGAACGCACGTCTTCCACGCATTCCACCAGAGACTTAATGAGCCAGACAACCCCTCTCTCACTGGCAGATAAATCAGGCAGTCGTCGGCATACGACTGGAAGTCAATACCGCAGCTGTGGAAGATCATGCTGAGTGGGAGCAGATAGATTGAAAAGAGCAGGGGACCCAGAACAGATCCCTGAGGGACCCCCCATTTCAGCTCTTTCTGAGACGATAAGTGATTACCTGTAGAAACACTCATAGTTCTACCAGTCAGGTAGGACTTCATCCAGCTCAGAGCTGCTCCTGAAATCCCCACCCACTGCTCTAGGCGTTCCAGCAGAACCTGATGATCCACAGTGTCGAACACTGCAGTCAAGTCACTAAGCAGCAGCACCACCGCCTTCCCAGCATCAGCTGCCAGGGACACGTCGTTGGGCACCTTTAAGAGAGCAGTTCCAGTGCTGTGCCCAGATCTGAATCCAGACTGGTGTGGTTCTAAGATCTCGTCGGTGGCCAAAAATAGACAGAGCTGATCATAAACTGTCTTCTCAAGGACTTTTGAACTGAAGGGAAGGCGCGAGATTGGCCTGTAGTTGGAAATAACTCCTGGGTCCAAAGCTGCCTTCTTTAGCGGGGCTTCACCACCGCATGTTTCAAAGTGTGGGGCACAAGGCCGTGACTGAAGCTGCTGTTTATGATGGACACTACCGGAGGAGCCAACACTGGAGAAACCGTCACACGGGGAACCTGATGGCTTCATTCTGGAGACCAGCTTCAACACATCCGACACAGTAAATGAGTCTAATGTGGCTGATAGTGGAGGTGGAGCCAGAGGGGTGTATAGTGGGTCATGTACCAGAGAGGCTCTTGCTGTTGCAGGTTTCTCCAGACAACACCTGGAAGTTCTCACAGCTCTCAACTGAGTCATCCATTGTAGTAACCATTCCCTCCGGGTCCAGCGCTGAACTCAGTGCTGGTCACCTGAGGCTGAAGAAATAATGCCAGCAAAATAGTTAATTTTAGCCCTCTTACCTGCCAGCTAGGTCCGAGCTAGCTTGGACCTAGCGAGGCTAGCTTGGACCTGAACAGCTCTAAAGAGATTTGAAGTCTGTCTTTCTTCCACAGCCTTTCAGCCCTCCTGCTGTCACGTCTCATGTGTCTGATTTCCTCTGACGTCCAACCTTCAGATTTTCTCCCAGACTTGACATCAGTGAGGGGCGCAGTCTCATCCAAGACTGATGCACATAGCAAGTCAAAACGATCAGAGAACAACTGTGGGTCAGGCGGGACTGAGTACTACGAAGGCCACTGGTTGGAGACAACCACAGAAAACATTAAAAGTATTAAAAACCAGTGGAGTTTTGGCACCGCTGGTCATACTACAGGTGGAATAGTGATGTCACAACCAAACCCAGGTGCAGCATGGTCAGAAAATCTACCACACTGGTATTGCTAGTCCTCTCGTTTGGGAGTCCTAAGTCCAGAGTGTGGCCGTGCTTGTGTGTGGGCCCGGTCCTCCACCAGCTGTTTCTCAGGGCAGCACACATGCATGTTAAACCTCCCAGAACTAAGACATGATCAGAATTGTGCATAAAAACTGACAAAAGTTCTGAAAAGTCCAATGTGGCCGAAATAAGAATTCCTAAAACTGTAGAGTCCAGTCCAAAATCCAGGAGGCATGGCTCGGAGCTTCAGTGAGTCGAGCCGTAAGAACCGGTTCACTTTACCGGACCGGACCAACTCTATGTGTATAGCACCGTTAAAGACACGGCGTGAGCGCTGAGCAACATGCTGAACAGGCAGGATCAGTTAAAGCACTAAAATCATAATATGATCACATGAATCTCTAAAACCGTAGGATTTTAAGTCGGATCAAAAACCCGCAGAGAGGACGCCAGCCTGACTGTAATGGAGGTCAGAGCACGCTGCCCCCGGGCTCTGACCTCATTTAAGGTCAGCGGGTCACTCTAAAGAGCCGGAGTTCCCATCACTAGTGAGCGTGGCTTTACATTCTGGTGCACCTTTAACCTCACCCCTGATTGGTCCAGAGGTCCTGAGCCTCAGTCCTGGCTTAGTGATAACCGTGTGCTCTCGTTGGCTCAGGCTGCCTCTCTGGGTCTCCTTCACTTCCCCATCCTAAACGCCTCGGTGGATGAAAGCTGTCAGAACATCACCTACAAGGTAATTCCTGGTGTTCACTGGTTCTGAACAGGTAGCTGGGTGGCTCTGACGGTTCTGGCTGCTTCTCAGGCATCTCATAACATCGGGCTTGCAATGGACACCAGCCAGGGTCTGCTGGTTCCCAACGTGAAGAACGTTCAGCTGCTCAGCGTGTTCGAGATCGCCCAGGAGCTGAACCGCCTGCAGGCGCTGGGGGCTGCAGGTCAGCTGGGTGCCACCGAGCTGAGCGGGGGGACGTTCACTCTGTCCAACATCGGATCAGTGAGTCCAACCGCACCGCAGTACCGCGTTCTACTGCAGAACCCGACCTGAAACTAACGTGGTTGTCTGTGATTGGAACCAGATCGGAGGGACGTACGCCAAACCGGTCATCCTTCCTCCTGAGGTCGCCATCGGAGCCCTGGGAAAAATCCAGGTGAGATCTTGTGCTGTGATCCCAAACGGGAACCAACGTGAGCGGATGTTTCTCAGGCCCGTTCTAACTGTGTGTCTAGGTTCTGCCCCGGTTTGATGCCAGCGGTGAGCTGATTCCAGCTCACATCATGAAGGTCAGCTGGTCAGCAGATCATCGCATCATCGATGGCGCCACCATGTGTCGCTTCTCCAACCTGTGGAGGGAGTACCTGGAGAACCCGGCCTGCATGGTGCTGGACCTGAAATAAACACATTCCCCATCAGCCCCGGGGTGAGCGGTACCACAGCCCCACCCACCAGCCGCGTGGTTCTGTTCGGTGCCTCTGTGAGCGTCGGGACCGACCCGAACTGGACTGGCTGGGTGGGACGGGACCGAGGTGAAACTAGATTAGAAGTGTTTGCTGTTTGGAACTGGATCTCTCCGGTTCTGTGCTGGTTCTGAACCAAACACTCCTCTAGCCAATGAGGACATTTTGGTTCGGTTCTGGCCG